CATGGGAAGTTGGGCAGCGCTTCCTTGCAAGTTTGCTAGGAGCCAGGCCTGGGGCCACTTGCACTCCAGAGCAGTGGGGAGGGATTCTTCCAGGCCTCCTGAGCCTTCATTATGCACCACAGGTGGCCCAGCCAGGATGCATCCTCTGCCCTGGCGTCCACTGGCTCTGCCCTGGTGAATCGGCCCAGCTCTGTCCACCTCGCCAAAACGGACTTCTGTCCTAGGCCCCTGGGCCCCAGCTCTGGGCCTTTTGTCACAAGTGGGAAAACTGCGCATCTCCTCCGTCCCGTGGAAAAGCACATGGTCCATGTCCTGCTGGTAGACAAACAGCCAGAAAAAACTCTTCAGCTTTCTTTTTTCTGAGGAAGTCAGGAGTTTCCACTAATTATCGAAATGGTTACGTTGTATGTTGTAGGAGTTTTAAGCCACTGTTGTTTGTTTTGTTCTTGTTTTTCCAGTGATGATAATAATGTGCCTTGTTACTTTCCTCAGGTTCATTAGATGAAGTTTTCAACTGCAATCTGTCACCCAGATCATCTCTGACTGAGGTTCTTTTGGCAGAATTGCCGTTTCCAAGCGTTCTGGAATCTGAAGAGACACCCGACCAATTTATCTGATTGGATTGAACATGTTGTGGTCACTGCTACCCGCCAGGCAGGCCTGTTGGAGGACAGAAGGCTGAGGGGAGGCGAGAGGCAGTGGGAGGCGGGCACTTCCACCTGCTTGTCAACCCCTCTGCTCCCACAGAGGGCTCCTGTCTTCCATTTCCTGGGCCACGCCCTGGCAGGCCCATTGCAGCTGACTTCAGACAGGGAGGGCTTTGGCTGGATGGCCTCTCCTTGTAACACTTCTCCAGAGAGGCCGAGGGAGCAGCAGAGTCCTGCCAGGCTGAACACTTTGCTTAGTATCCTGGCGTCCTGGGAGCTCTCCTGGCAGCCTTTGAGCATTCACTCTCCATGCTGCATAAGTCAGTGGCCCTCTGCTTGGGACCTCCTTGTCTGAACCCAAACCCAGCAAGCAGGTGATTAGCAGTGCTGTTTTCTTGCAAACATGGCTTACAAAAAGCCTAGGACATTTTTCACTGGAAGACAGGTAGGTTTCTCATCCTTAGGAGGAACATTCTAGTAAGGGGTGCCGGAGGATTGGCCAGGTTGAGAGGACAGTGACCTTGCCACCCACTGCCTGAAATGTGAGCTGCCTTGTTGATCTCTCTCATCAAAGTGGCCTGCGTGGAAAGTGGCCAGGTGATGTGGTACCAAACAGTGACAGGGGAAAGATAATGTACAGGGCAGGATCCTCTCTTTGGAAACACATTAAGTCAGTTGGGTACTTTAAATAAGCTTTAAGCCATCCTACCACTGAAAGCAAAATAGAAAAGCTATAACATGACCATAATACACTGTTACATCAATACATTTTTCATCTCATAGCTACAATGGCATTCTTCAAAAAGAAAAAAAAAATTCTATTTACATATAAAAACCTGCATGAATGAGTCACTACATATGCTTATAATGAGGAAGATTTATGGGTCCTGAGTGTAATTTTTCTATCCTTTTTAAACAACTTCCGGTATTATACATTTTGATAGCACTACTGATTGTCCCTTCATTTATATTGATATGCTGGGTACTCTATTTGTGCAATTAAAACTCTTCTTAACATTCAACACGGAATCAATTAAATTTGTGACCAAGCGTGTATGTGTGATCTTGTCACTGTGCTTTGCAGGTGGTATATTTGCCTTGTAACTTACTAAATGACAATTAGAATTGTGGTTTTCTCAGCTACTTTCTCAAGAAGGGCTTTTGGAAGAACGCGTCTCCAAAGCATTTGGAGAAAAGAAAAAGAATCTGATACTGATCTTTCACAAAAGGAAGAAAAGTTCCTTAAAAAGAACAGAAGAGGCTACACATTTGTTATTCAACTCAGTGCAAAATGAAGAGTGTTCACAATAAAATAAGTTTTATACCAGTGCAAACAAACCTTAGATGGATATCAAATATTAAATACTTCCCAAAAGAAATAGGGACTCTGTTCACAAAAGTTGACAAAGAAGAATTTTTTAAAAGTAGCTGAACTGAGAAAAACCATCAGTAATCACTCCAAGAATGGACTAAAGATCTGGAAGTTTTCTTTTATAATTAAAACCTTTTTTTTTCATTGAACTAAAAGCAATTTTCATTGAATACATTCACTCATTCAGTATTCACTCAGCAAAGTTTTATGAAGTGCTTCTAAGGGAATATACCCTATGCCAATATATTTATTAGCATGCGTCACACAGAAGTGCTATTGGGTGATCTTTAAAATTGGTGAAAAGCATATTGGGACAGATCTTTCTGGGTTAAGTGGGCTTCAATCTGGGTATAAATGCAGCCTAATTCAGATATTTTAACAGTTCAAGATCAATAAATCTATAGGACAACAATGATCTAAGCAATTCATCCGTTCATTCAATTCATCCATTCATTCAAGTCATCCATTCATTCAAGTCATTCATTCAACACGTATGATTGCGTGCCTACTCTGTGCAGTGCACTCAGGTGGGTGCTGGTATGTAAAGTGTCTAAAGCACGGCCCTTGCTTTCAAGGAGTGTCCAGTCTTAGAAGACAGATGTGCAAGCTGAGAAGAAAAATAAAATGAGTGCTACGAGAGACGTTCAAAAAAGAGAACATCTAAAACACTTAGCGATCCAGCTTTGGAGGTAAAATTAATGACGTAAAACTATAAAACTTAGTTTTAAAACAAATATGTGAGGACTGATGTATCCAAGTGATTGATTTATTGAAGCTCTCAGTACAAGAGTCACCTTGGAGGCTATTAATTTATTCCAACAAGAACGCAAATCCAGACATTATCTACAGAGTGAGGGAGGTTTTTTTCTCATTACCTCATGGTTAGAGTTTGATTTTTGGCTGAAGGATAACATTGCCCAACTTGATTGCCTACCTTAATTATCAGCTCAAATGTGAATGTCTTTTTACTGTTTCAAATCCCCAATCTATCTTCAAAGAGCCAAGTTATGCCCCTATTTAAGAAATTCAAAAGAACATGCATCTAGTTCTGAAAGGAGTTTCTAAAGAATTTCAATGCTTTAAGCAATGGCAGTGTCATTAGAATAAATTATTACTTTGAAGAAGAGAACATTCATTTGGATGGGTAAATGCTGGTATAACAGATTTAAAAGGAATGTTCACACTTGATGTTCAACACTTGAATACACTTGAAAGAACCAACAGTGTAAAGCATTAGTAATTACCCAATGGCTGGCCTGGCCCACTTAACCTCTCGAGTTCAGAGAAGAGGAACACACAAGAACCCAGGAGGGCAGAGCTGGCCCAGGAGGGAGGTGACATTTATACTGGATTGACAAGGTTTTGATAGAATCAACAGTCTGAACTTGCTGCTATGGCTTTATTTGGATTAAATGTGAGTAAGTTTGGCGAGTGGCACATTAGAAGCAGGGCTTAGAATCTGCCCCATTAGATTGGACTGTCCTAACAAAATAGAGAACATTGTAGAACTTTCTTTTCTGGATCTTTCAGTAAAAGGATGGCAATCATTCTTGGCTACTTAACAACAACCCCTCCGAGTGGTAGATAATGAATTAGGTGACTTCAGAAAGATCTGGACCTGTGATGGCTAATTTTATGTGTCAATTTGCCTGGGCCATGGTGTCCAAACATTATTCTTGATATTTCTAGGAGAGTATTTTTGGATGAGACTAATATTTAAATTGGCAGACTTTAAGTAAAGCAGAATTGCCCCCTACAATATCAGTGCACCTCTCCCATCAGTTGAAGGCCTAAATAGAACAAAAGCCTGACCTCCCCTGAGCAAGAGAAGATTCTGCACAGGTGGCCTTCAAACTTGAACTGCAACATCCGCTCTGCCCTGGGCCCCCCAACTGCCGGCCTCCTTTGCAGACTTTGGGCTTGTCAGGCTGCACAACTGTGTGAGCCAATTCATTAAAATGAAATAAGTCTCTCTCTCTCCACACACACACACACACACACACACACACACACTCTCTCTCTCTCTCTCTCTCTCTATTGTTTTGTTTCTCTAGAAAACCCTGAATAATACAGACTCCATCACAGAAATTGAGAACATGTTTTACGAATTAATCAATCAGCTAAAACAAAGGAGAAAAAGCAATAGGTTTTTTTTTTTTTTTTTTTAACATGAAGACACTTGAATAAAAGCATTGCATATTACTTAGTAATAGAAAGACTTTTGCCCAGATGTACTAAGCTGGAGAAACTTCACTCAGTATATCCATATCCAGAGTACTTGGGCAACACTGGAGATCGTTTGTGACCTCTCCCAGGCTTTTGGAAGCAGGCCCCTGCCAAATCTTTTACACATCCTTTGTTGGCTTGCTCTTTGAATCCTCCCATCAACTAATTTCCCATTCTCCTTCTCATTCAGGAGACACCCTTGCCTGTCATATTTCCTGGAGCAGAACTTCTCCAATTTGAATGTGCCTAGGAATCTCTTGGAGGTCTTGCTAAGCTGCAGACTCTAATTCAGTAGGTCTGTGTTCTAGCAAGCTCCTGGGTGATGCAGAGGCTGCTCATCCTAGGACCAGGCTCTGGAACTGTCCATCTCAAACTTATTGAATCATCTGGGGATCTTGTTAGAAAAACAGAATCTCAGGCCCCACCTGACTTATTGAGTCAGAATCCGTGTTCTCTAGATGCCCAGGTGTTGGTGGATACGCTCGGTTTGAGGAGGAACACATTCGTCTTCTCCAGGTCTGGGCCCCATCTGCTCTTTCCACACAGCAGGCAAGCTCCATCTCTCTCCCTGCTTCTTACCCACAGCCTAAGAACTTGGTTCTTCCTCTCCGGTTTGGGTACTAACTCTCTACCTGACCCACTCCCTCTCCTCCAGCTGGAGTCTTCCTTCTCCTTCATAGCCAAAAGCTGGGTATTCTACCCTTGCTGTCCCCTCCTGCTACCACCCACCTGTTGCTACTCCTTCACGTCATGTTCCTTCTGTGTGTGTGTATGTGTGTACGTACACGGGAAGAAATTTATTATAACAATTTAAATTGGAAAAAACCATTTAACATTTAGCCCCTTCAATACAGCTACTCTCAAACTGTTGATCAATTTGAAACTCTGTAAAAGGCATATTAGTAAGCTGCATGTCTTAATTTCTAAATGGTTAACTCTTTCTGGTAGGTGATATGGATGATGTTGCTTCTCTTTCCCCTGGAAAAAGAGGCCAGGACTTATGCAAGGTTCTGACTTGATCGCTTTGCTCTGTTGCTGTAACCCACTCCAGTGAATAATTCTCCTGCTCAGGGGAAGCCCAGTTTCTCAGCACGATGCCCCGCAGGGCCTTTGGCTCAGTGTTCCCCAGCTCCCCCTTCACTCTTTCCAGTGTGGCAATCCCATGCTGTGCTATCCCCTGCCTCCTGGGCCTTTGCTCCGCCTGGTGGCAGCTCTCTGTCTCCCCTTGATTGCCTCCTAGGCATCCTTGAGAACTCAGCTCGGGCATTTCCTGTTCTAGGACCAGCTCCCCAAGATCCCTATCCAGGGCATTGCCCTTAATGTCATCATGCAGCTCATTTTCAGTACATAGGCAGTGTTTGTTGAGGGAAAGTAGAAAGGAAAAAAAAAATCATCTTAATCATTGAAAGGGGTTGCCTCAAGCAACCCAAATTCAGAGGCAGGAATAGTGCTATACCGGTCGTGATAAAATGGACTTGTACCAAAAATCCATTTTGAAGCAGGAATGAAAGACTATAAAAAGAATGGAGCTCAGAATAGCAATAAGACAAAAGAGCAATACCTTAGGTTTATGCGGCTTTATAATTTATAAATTATTGTTAGAATTATTCATCTTTACAGCCCGGCAAGACAGGCACTGGTATAGTCATTTTACAGATAACTTGGGGCTCAGAGAAGTATCTGCTTGATCCTAAGGGCCCCAGGTAGAAAGTACAAAGAGATTTCCCAGCTCCCGATTTGGTGCGTAGGCCACAATTTCACATCTTGCCTAAGAGGAGACAAATGTAAGATATTAATAAGAATTCACTTTCGGGGGCGCCTAGGTGGCTCATTCATTAAGCGTCTGCCTTCAGCTCGGGTCATGATCCCAGGACCCTGGGATCGAGCCCGGCATCGGGCTCCCTGCTCTGCGGGAAGCCTGCTTCTCCCTCTCCCACTCCCCCTGCTTGTGCTCCCTCTCTCACTGTGTCTCTCTCTGTCAAATAAATAAATAAAATCTTAAAAAAAAAAAAAAAGAATTCACTTTCAAAATTCTATAGACTCCCTGCTCTGTTTTAAAAAAAATATTTTTCTTAAATTATGCTATGCTAATTAGCTCTGTCATTTTCAGACAGTAATCTGTTATCGGGTGTTATTTTCCTCATTTAGATGCCACTACTAAATCCTAATTTAGACTCATTCCTTTTAATAACATCGACAGAATGCTATACCTTCTATGTGCTCCACCACCATTCATAGCTATAAAATCTGAGAGTCTAGAATGTGTTATATGTGTTCCATTATATGGATAGGACCCCTCTCAGAAAATTCTACTTTAGTTCTTAATTTTTAAGCAATACCTTGCATATGCACTTGGGATGCTTACTTTGATGCCTATTCTGTGTCCTTTGATAAACTCCTTTTTTTAAACACCAACTTCACCTAAGGTCCTACTTTTTCAAATAACCCCTTTGCAGAGAAGGAATGGTTGTAAATTGCTTTCTAAATGTGTTGCCAGCAGTCTCTAATGAGTATTTCCTCTCTTTTCTTTGCACCCAGGTGGCTAATAGCTGTGTCCTAGCCTGGAAGCATTCAATTTTACTAAGCGCCTACTATGTGTCAAACTACCAAGCTAGTTGCCAAGAATATGAAGATAAAAGACCCTCCACACTCTTGGAAAACTGTAACACACACATGGGGGCGGGGAGAGACACAGTTGAGTCTGTGGGGATAGAACAATTACATTGACAATCACAAAACTCAATGGTTCATGCCAGAAACCTCCCCTGGTGAAGAGAAAGGTGTCACACACATCCCTGCCCACTCTTGTTTCCTTAGTAATGCAAAGATCTATGACAACTTTCCCTACAGTCACTGAAAGTTGAAAGTTACCAAGAGATGAAAATTTGCAATCGCAAATCTGACAATAGGACTTTCTCTTCAACAACTCATCTTTTCCCTTCTCTCCCCAGATATGCAAGACAATGCTCAGGAAAGCTCACTGCCAGAACTATAGGAACACACGGAAGTAAGCATATTGCTGGAAACACATCTGGGCTTTCCGCACCCCGTCCCCCAGCCTGCCTGATGAAGCGCTCGCCCTCCCCCTCCCGCACCTATCGGCCCCCAGCTGAGCTGCGGAAAGTGACCCGCGTCTCCATGGCGACGCGTCACAAAGCAGCCACGCGCAGCCCACAGCACCCAGTCCAGCAGGAGCAGAGGGCACCGTCACGGCCTCTTTTGAGCAGAATGGCACGGACTGGGGCTGAGGCCGCGTGCCCCTCTCAAAACGGCCACAAGATTCAGCCAAGTAAGGCTGCGGACCCTGCCAGCGGGGGGGGGGGAAGGGGGGCAGGCTTTTTCCTGGGAATGGGGTACCCTAGAGCAAAGGCTGCTTCTGTCTGCAAGGCTGTTTGCCTCCCTCTTATGGGTGGGACTCAATCCATGGAGAGTCTGGGAGTCAGACCTCTACAGCCCTTCGCCATATTTCTGCAGATCCTCTCCCTAAACCGCTCAAGTGTTTTTAAACACCCCCCACGAAATGCCTAGGAGGGTTCAGGAGAAGGGAGAGAACAGTGCCTTTCCAGGAGAACAAGGTCAAAGACAAAGAAGGTACCGAAGTCAGAGGCTCTGAAGACAGCAGACCCAGCAGAGACCGATCCCCACGCAGGATCTAGGGAAGAGCACAGAAGGCTGGCAGGTGCAGAATGCAGGACCCCTAAGTGGATCTGCAGAGGCAGCCTCCCCCCACCTGGCTGTAGCAGAGGCTGGGAACTTGGCATTCAGTTGCCACTTCTACCTAACCTTTGCTGATTTCTCTTTCAATGAGATTTTGCACTTAACAGAGGTAGAGCTTTTGATGCTAATTTTGTATGCAAATGCAGCAGGTTTACAAAGTCAGCTTTTTGTATCAGCGGAGGGAGAGCATTCTAGCTGTGATGCTAGTGGCGTGATTACTGTGTAGTCAGCTCCATCCTGGCCTTTCTCATGGCAATAATAACCCACCGCAGCCCTCTAGCTGGGTAATTGTGATTCCATGGTGGCTACAGAGCTGTGGGAACCGTTCAGCTGCAAATACCCTAGAATTGTAGACCTGCCAGAAAGAACGAAATGCATATTTTCATTCCATTCATCCCTTTGTAAAATTAAGGATAGAAAATGAAAATACTTAATTTGTACAAAATATATTGAAAACACTGTTTCTATATGATAACAAGGCAAAAAAAAAAAAAAAAAAGAGGCGGGGAGAGAACCTCCTTCCCAGGATTCCCCCACTACATTCCTTTTTAATCTCCTCCTCTCTTTTCAGCCACCTGTCTTGGTTTCTTTCACTGCCTCCTCTCCCCCTTCTTGTCGGGGGAATGTGAGAGTCCTCCAAGATCTATCCTTCTTGGTTCTCTGTGTGGTGGCCATGTCCTACCAAGGACTTCAAGTCTACTGAAATATGCCGGTGGCTTTCTAATCTTCTCTGTCACTCACTCCTAATTTTCAAACCAAAGTATTCCACTGCCTACCAAATAGTTCCATTTGGATGTCATAGAAGGGCCTCGAACTTCTATGTACAAAATTACACTCCTTGTCCTCCCAGACTTTGCAGGCTCAGTTAGGAGGGTGCTTTGCTGACATCTCATTTTGATCAGCAAGGCTCATTGGTTCTGCCCCCAAAGTTTCCCTTCCTGTGGGTGAGTTTGACTCTTCGTGCCCAATCTTGGGGCTCTCTCTGCCACTCTATCTTCCACTGCTAGAAGTGTCATGTTCCAAAAGGTGGGACTGAGGTGTCACTGGCTAGCTTTGATCCAAAAATAAGATGAGGTTGACATTGACTACCATGGGCTACTTGCTATTGAACTATTACTAGATATGGGCTTGTAATTGCTGTATCAGTTTGAAGGACTGCCATTAATAACCATGAACTGGTGGCTTGGAACAAAGGAAATTTATCATCTCACATTCTGGAGACCAGAAGCCCAAAATCAAGGTGCTGGCATGGCTGCACTCCCAGAGTAGCTCGGGGACCGAATTCTTTCTTGCCTCTTGCAGCTTCTGGGGGCTGTCAACCTTTTTGTGGGCTCCTCACTTCAGTCTGCCCCTCTAGGGTCACATCGCGTACTCTTCTGTGTGACATCTCCCTCTGCTTCTCATGAGGGTGATGAAATGGCATTTGGGGCCCACCGATAATCCAGCACGATCTCCTCATCTCATCATCCTTAACTGCATCTGCAAAGGCCCTTTTTCCTTACTTGGTACCGTTCGCAGGTTCTGCGGTTTGGATGTGGATGTATCTTTTGGATCCCCGTTCAGCCTACTCTAAATGCTTGACTCTACCGTCCCCTTTAATCCTCCCAACAGCAAGGCAAACTTAGAATTATCAGGTACTGTTCATACCTGCCCATCTGTTGGGCTATTGTGGAGGATAAAACAAGATTCCATATGTGGAAATGCTCTGTAAAGTGTAATATAATATGCAACTGCTAATTACTTTTTTATAATATTTTCAAAACCTCATCATAAATTTTCATAATAGTGAATACCTTCAGGGGTGATAAAGCACCAGGGTAGAGCAGGGCAAACCAGGCCTTGCTGACCTGTCACTGGCCACTTCTTCCCCTGCCTTGCTCACATTGGGCCACTTGCCGGGTCTCAGACTTTCATACCTCATGCTCCTTCCTCTGAAAAATGCTTCACTCCGCATCCTCCTGTGGTCCCTGTCCAAGTCCCACTTTAAGTCCTGGCTCAGATGCTACCTATTCTATGAAGTACCTCCTGGACCCACCCTCGATGCCCCTTCTCTCATCTACCCAGAAAGAATTTCACCTTCCTTGGGAGCTCCCATGGCACACGGCCCAGCCGCGCATTTATAAGCTTGTGCTCACTGGAGATTTGCAGTCTCCTCTACTCACCTAGGAGTTCCCCAAGGGCAGGACAGGATCTCTATGTACTAGGGCCCAGCAGGAGGCTTGGTCTACAGGAGGGGCTCAGGACTTGACTGTAGAATGAACAAAAATGAGAGAAGGTAGAAACAGGAAGACAGAATCCTGAGAGAGGTGGACACAGATTACAGGGAAAAACACTGAGATACTTACCGAGAGTGAATGCAAAAACAGGCGGTAGCACATTCCGGAAACAGGTGTTTAGAATCTTAAGATCATAGATTTTTAAGTTACTATTTCTATTAATGAAGAGGATTAATTCTAATCACATTGTATTTTCAGAAGCTGTGTCAATGGAAATAGGAAGCACAGACACAGACCTGATGTAAAGACTTCTAGTAAGAAAAGTCATTAAACAAAAAATTGTAGAAAGATGTAATGGAAATTGCGCATCTCGTCATTTTAGTTATCCAAGTGGGTTAGAATTAGGGTGAGGGAGGTCCATTTGGTCTCAGGTCCTAGAGGCAGCTGGGCATGGCCTCTCCTGCACCTGATACCTTCTGGAATAGGATCTTAGCAAAGGAGGCTGCCAGCCCCCAGCCTGTCCTCAGGAAGGGGAAAGGCCAGAGACAGGGATACCCAGAGGTGTATCTGGCTTGCCCGTGTGATTGACGGGGAGATGTTGCCTGGATGCTGTGTTGCCAGGGTTTTTGAGGCATATGCGGGCCTAGAAGGAAATTGGTCTGGTCTGGGTTAGTATTGTCTGCTTTAGGAAAAAGAGGGTGAAATGTTGTGTAGTCTCTGTGCGGAGGATCTTTCCTGAGCCTTGCAAGAGTCACACTCCGAGGTTCATATCAGGTTAAGCGAAGGTTTCTTTTAAGAGCAACTCTGCCTCCCAATTTCTTCCCACTTACTTGTCCATACTTGGAATTCTCTGAACAAGGAACATTTATTCTGCCGTTGGAACAAAATGCTTGAAAGCACGAAATGACTCCCACAAACCAGCAGCGTCAGAGAAGAACGTCATTTCTCGTCAAGTGGGACCTGGGTGGGGACATCCAGAGTGTGTGTGAGCAGAGGCACAGGGTGGAACAGGCAGGGGCTAGACTTTTGTTAGACTGGGGAAGCTGGTGGAGGTGAATCCCAACCAGAGAGAAGGCGATGGGGAAACGGTCACGGAGGAGAAAGTCCAGCTGCCCGGCTGCACCCAAGGGCCTGTTAAATCAGAAAAAAGAACTGGCTGGGAGATGGGGAGATGACACAGGAAGAAGTACACAGACAGCAAAAACTAAATGTTTGGTCAGGGCCCTATATGCTAGACAGTGCATATAGATTTTAGGACTATTTGGAAACTGAAGATGTATTCGAGAAGAATACTGTATAACAATTATATTTAGGATGTGTGAGTGGGAACATCACAGGCCATGAGGTGGCTACGGGGATCTAGCAGTGAGGCGCTCGACCCCACACAGCAGGGTATTCAGACATTAAAGGGGACCGTTTCAACCCAGGTTCCAATGAAATGTAAACAGGTGAATTGCCCAGGTAGGAAGAATGAGAGAACGACTGAGTTAAATTTAAAATCTTTACTCCCAAGAAGTGTGGTGGTACTTTGTAGACAATGAGAGGTTAGGGCAGAAAAATTCTGTTGTTGTGAGCTCATGCCCCACGGTTAATTCTCTGTCTTCGTCCTCCTGGACCCAGCCAGCAGCATTTCCCATAGGCGATCCCTCCCCCTCCCTCCTGGAAACCCCTCCTTCCTGTGGCCTTCGGGACACCACATGCCCTGGTATTCCTCTGCCCTTACAGACTGCTCTTCTCCACCTCCTCCTCTGATTCCTTCAGCCTTTGGACTGGTCTCCTCCATCTATCTTCCCTCTCTTGTTGGTCCCACCCACGCTCACCGCTTTTATTCTCATCTGTGCTGCGGAATCCTGCTCAGTCCCAACAAAGAACACATTAGAGCTGCTCCGGATGAGTTGGAGGGCTATTCCTATGGGAATAGGACACTGTTCAGGGACAGAGAGAAGAAAAGGACACTTTGTGAATTATGAGCCCACTTTTGTGAAACGAGATGGTGAAAACTAAAACCCAACGTCAAAATAGTTATATATGTATATGTAAATCTCTAGATAATTCTATCAGCAGATGTAAAACATGGAAAGAAACCAGCACAGTTGTTCACATGGGGTGGGAGGAGGGCTGAGGAGGAGGGTGATAAGGAGCAGAGGAAGGAAGGAGAGAGGAGAAGGTGCCCGGGATAAAACGGGACATGTAAACTTTGTGTAAAATCATGTCATGTGTGTATAGGTTTATCTACTACGGTGTATGAGAAGTTGGTCACTAAAGTCAAAGCGGGCATCTTAAAGTGATAGCACCTCAAACAAACTTTCTGTTTTATATTTTTCATGTGTTGCTTGAACTCTTCAAAATAGCATGTACGAGTTCTCAGGAAAAACAATGGACTTACTTCTATTTAGGGAGGAACTCAGTTCATTCAATTGAGCTTTCCTCTTTCCTATAAGAGGCCTCAAGTTGGACTTTGTTCCTTTAGACTTTAAATCACTATCCAAAAAAATTTTTTCTCTTGCAAAATTATTTTAATTATTAAAACAGCATACGACGGAAATATTCTGGTTTGCCACATTTCAAACTGTTTTGTTGTACTTTTGACAGGTGATACCACCTGGGATTCCTATGCCACCACCATGAGGACTGCATACACGCCCAAGACTGGAGCTGTGCCTGCTTTAATTCGGTAGATCCTGATTTGTGTCAGGTTGACGTACATACCTTAAACTGTTCACCTGTATTCTATTATTCAAAATCCAAAACCAAGTGAAAGAGTAATCAGAGAAGGCTTATAAAAATGTACGCATGGAGAACCTATTGCATGCACGGTGCTCCTCCAAGCACCAGATAGCCTTCCCCCCTTTAGACAGTATCCAGACCTCTTACAGGAGAACTAAGAAAAGGAACATATGAATCCTTCATAAAGGACCCTTCACTGCGGGTCCTGCTTTACAACAGAGCCGGTATATAGGTTAACAGAATTGTGCTACCTGACCAGAGTATGAATCGAATCCATTACCTGGTACATAGTAGGCAGGCAATGACAATTGAATGAATGGCTGAATGCAGAATTGTTAGCACTTCCATCACCAACATTGGTCTTGGAAGCTGGATGGCCATAACACACTCACCCTTACCTTCACAGCGCGGCTTACTGCTTCCTCAAATGGCTTGCAACTTCTCCATTTCCACCTGAATTGTGAATGGTGGGAATGTCTGTCCATCAGCTGCTTCTTTAAGCTCATTGGTGGGTGAGTGAGAGTGGGATCAGGAAAGCCCCGTCATCGTTCATTGCATCCGTGGTGGGTAGGAAACCAACATGGAGAGCCTTCACCTGCCTGTGTGAATTGTTTCCAAAAAAGAGGACCTTTTCACCCCCAAAGTTCAAGTTGTTGAGCAAAACCATGGCTGAAGAGTCAGGCAGAAATGGGTTTTAACCTCTGCTCCCTGCTCTGACCCTTATTAGTTCTGCTACCTTTGGCAGGGAACAAGCCATCTATGGCTCAGTTTTACGGTTGGCGAAGTGGGCATGATGATCCCTGCCGGAGGTGGTTGTTCAGGGGATGGAATGAAAGCACTAGAACAGTGACTAGCACCAAGAAGTTATTCGAAATTTTTCATTAATTTTTTCCCCAGCATAATACCTGATAGACTTTCAAACACTACAGGTTGCAAGACTCTTGATATCTGAGTTGCTGTCTATCCCACTGAGTTACATTATGTCCCCTAACTGGGAGATTTATCATCTGATGGCAATGATCATGCCAGCTTCCCAGTCAGTAACAGTTGTCTCAAGAAGAAATATTTGGGATGAAAGCCAAAAGCAAGTGGGTACTAATGGAGTCTAGGTCAGTGGTCTTCAAATTCGCATATTTTTTAAGTTCACAGAAAAGTTTTCATTGTAAATTAAAATAATTGTGAAAGATAAAGTGCATAGCCCATCCTAAACATTGACATTTTAAAATAAAACTATTAAGTCACTTAAAAAAATACAGCCAATGGGTAACCTAAACACCTTAACAAATAGATACTTGCTTTGATCTTTTAAAAAAATACACAAACTCTTCTTTAATAGACCATTTATTTCATTCCCTTTGCTTCTTGAACTCTTATTCCACTCCACTTCCTCCATAGAATCTTACCCTGCTGTAATGTATTTTGTGTTTGAAGGCCATTTATTGATCACTCCATTATACTTTGTTGAAACTATTTTAGTATATTAATTGAAATTAATTTTTAAACATGTTATGTGACCCTAAGTACTGAGTTATCACAATTATTTTTAGTACACAATTGCTCAAAGCAATAAATACATTACAAATGTTAATAATTAATTAACACAAAAAGTAAATTCTTTGGAATTGTAATTTAATGAGATAAATGTGACTGTTCTGTTTGCAATTAATTTATGTATTCAGTTTTAAGTGTTATTATTTTTGGAACGGGACTGCAATTAGCATCAATTTTTTTTCTGTTTCTCATGTTTATTTTTCAATTTATAGATGCTAATGTTAAGCAAACTTGTTCACATAAATAAGTAGATGTGAATGAAAGGAGTTAAGTGTGGTGTTGTCATTCAAGACTTTGAACTCTTCCTGAGTTATACACCAAAAATTACAAGGTGATTTTTATGATTGAGCAGCTGACAACTTGGCTGGGCTAGTCTTTTGATTTTATTGAAAGGAAATAATTAGATGATATGTCATCCAGTTATTGAGTTATTCCCTAACTCCTTTTCGGAAGAGTATACTGAAAAGCTACATCTTAACAAATGACTATTAAATTACATCAGTTGCTCTTTCACTTGGAAGAAACTTGTTTGATATTTTTTTCCAGTTTTATTGAGGAATAATTGACATGCATCACTGTATAAGTTGAAGACATACGGCATGATGGTTTGATTTACATACCTTGTGAAATGATTGCCACAATAGATTCAGCTAACATCCATCTTCTCTCATAGATACAAATCAAACATTTACTCTACATTTAATGAGAGAGAAAGTTCTACATGCTGAAAATTAATTGGTCTGGCAAGCCGGCATATACTGCCATGTGTCGTTACGTATTTTACAATATAGATAAAATGAGGACTGGCTGCACTGGATTAAATATTTCATAACATGTTTGGGTTAAAAAAATAAGACTTAAGTACCTGATTGACGAATACAAAATCTGAAGGAAAAAAATAACAAAATTTTTATGTACCAGTTTTACCCAGTGAATCTTTCAAATCTGCTAGTCTCAGAAAAGATTCCGGTTCTATTCAAAAGAATCAGCATTGCTGCCCTGTACCTGTTCAGAGATGCTTTTCTTTCTAGCTAATGACATGTCTTAGGGATTTTTTTTTTAAGCTGAAAAAAATGTTTAAATATGTGGTGGAAAGAGTCATTTGAAGCATTCTATATTCTCTGCTCTCTTCTCAGAGGCTTCCCCCCACCAAAGGGGCTGAACATTCTGTAATTGTTAGGAAATGAAAAACTACACATTACTCTTAGCCATAGCACTCTACAATGTACTTAAATTCAGGACATCCCCACACAGACCACATGTCCTGGTTAGAGCAATGCACTCCCTCCGCCATCCCCCTTCCCTACGCCCTCCCCACTCTCTCAGACCTGCGAAGGCAAGTCCAAGGTAAGGGTATGGAATTTGGATTATAAGCTATCTGTGCTGTGTTGCCTTTGGAAAATCTTCATGTGCCTTTGATCACTTCAGTTTTATTCAGGACCACAGTCCTACCTGAGCCTACACATCTGAATGACAAGTAAAATAGTCCGTCATGCAGATGTATCCCACTTTCCAGATGTTTGATTTCTTATAGACAGTACCTAGGCTGTCTTTAAAGAAACCCAGGCTTCTTTAAAGAAAAAGTCAATATGAAATATTTTAGACGTACACAAAAGAATATACAATGAATCCCTAGCCATTATCCAAATACAATAATCAACACAAGGACACTTTTTATGTATACCTTCTATCCAGCCTTCCCGCTGGATAATGCTGAAGCAAATTCCAGGCATTTTATCGTTTTAATTCCAAATATTATTTTTATGTATCTCTAAAAGATAAGGACTCCTTAAAAATATGCAATACCATTGTCTCAGCTCAAAAAGAAATAATTCCTTAGTATCAAATGGCCAATCAGCAATCAAATTTTCCCCTAATGTCTCAAAATTAAAAAAAAAACAACAACCAGGCTGTTAGAAATTAAATCCAAATATGTTCTGCACATTGCTCTTGGTTATTGTTTTTTAACCTCATTTAATCTATAAGTTCCCCTTCTTTTTCTTTTCTGAGAATTTCTTTGTTGAAGAAACAGATTGTTGTTCTGGACTTTTCTGATTTCAGCCCCATTGTGTTGTTTAAAATTTCCTCTTTTCATGTATTTCCTGTAATCTACTATTTCAAAGTCTTCATCTGGTTCAAGCCGGGTGTTTTGACAAAAATATTTAATAGGTGTTGTGTATGTCTATCCAGGGCATGTGATAGCTGATGAAACCTCTTCTTGAACTGTGAGTAGGAACTGGTGATCATTGCCTGGATGCATAATTTCATTAGGGCCTTGAAAACTAGTGATATCCCAGTTCTTCTGTATCTTCCTTTTATTAACTGGAACACTTCCGTAGAGAAACATTTCTTCACCAGGTATTTGGTTATGTTGAAGTACCGTGTAGAGAGGAGAGTACCAGCTCTTTAAAAAAATTAATTAAAAAAATTATTGAATTTCAGATGGCTGTTCTTTTAAATTCCATTTTAGGCTTCCCATACTTTTGTGAAGAGCCATCCTAAGATACAGGATTGTTTCTTTTCAAGGGAATCTGGAAATTAAATTATTTCTGGCACCAAGTCTTGAACCAGCGAATCTTTAAAAAAAAATGTAATAAGCAAAATTATTTGACATGTTTGGGTTAAAAAAATAACCCTGTGGGTCCTGCTGTGAGATTTGGTATTTAATCCCTTATTCTGATTTCCACTATCTTTTCTCATAGCCAAAAAAGTATCAGAAGACTAGGATATACATATTCACTTAGTGACCCTATTCCCAACCAGACACAGTACAATGATGAGTATGTTTGGAAAACATATTCGAAAGAAGATTTGATCAAAAACGGGACTTCAAGAGGAATCAGGAGACACAAATCTCACCCCAGTCAAGTAAGATAATATCTACATATCTATTGAATTTAATACTGTACCAGTAATCCATAAGAATGAGAGTTTGAGTATATCCCAAAAAATCCTTCATCTGTAGTTATGGTCCTTCTTATACTATGTTTTGTCTACTTTCTCACATTTATTTCTAACCACTTCTCCCTTATCCTCCAAATTTTTAAAAAGATTTTTAAAAATTGAAATGAAATTCACAGGGCATAACATTAGCCATTTTTTAAAAAGATTTTATTTATTTATTTGACAGAGAGAGACACAGTGAGAGAGGGAATACGGGAAGGGGGAGTGGGAGAGGGAGAAGCAGGCTCCCCATTGAGCAGGAAGCCCGATGCAGGGCTCGATCCCAGGACCCTGGGATCATGACCTGAGCCAAAGGATGCTTAACGACTGAGCCACCCAGCCACCCCAACATTAACCATTTTAACATGAAGAATTCATTGACAATTAGTACATTCATAATGTTCTGGAACTACCACCTTTATCTCATTCCAAAACATTTCCATCTACCAAAAGGATACCCCACATCCATTAAGAAATTACTTCCTGGGGCGCCTAAGTGGCTCGGTCGTTGGGCGTCTCCCTTCGGCTCAGGACATGGTCCCTGGGTCCTGGGATCAAGCCCCACATCGGGCTCCCTGCTCAGTGGAAAGCCTGGTTCTCCCTCTCCCACTCCCCCTGCTTGTGTTCCCTCTCTCGCTGTCTCTCTCTGTGTCAAATGAATAAAAAAAAAAATCTTAAAAAAAAAAAAAAGAAATAACTTCCTGCTTCCCTCTTCCCTAGACTCTGGCAATTACCAATCTGCTCTCTGTCTGTGTGGGTGACCTATGTGGATGTCTATGTGGATATTTTTTTATGGGGAATCATATAATATTGACCTTTTGTGTCTGGTTTCTTCACTTAGTATAATGCTTTCAGTGTTCATCCACACTGTAGTTTCTATCAGTACTTCATTCTTTTTATGGTTCCCGTTTAGAGTTGAATAATATTCTGTTGTATGTGTATACCACAGTTTGTTCATTCGTTTATTCATTGGTGGACATCGGAGTTGTTTCCACCTTTTGGCTATTGTCAGCAATGCTGGCACTCACAAGTATTTATGTTTGGCAGTATGCATTCTCAAACTCCCATATCTTTTGTCATTTTATTTACTTTATCTAGAATCCCTCTCCTGTCCACCAAGGAAATTTATACATTCTTTAAGACGCAGCTTAAAGAGAGCTATCTCTAATTCCCTTCTCCTCTAGATAGAAGTAACTGATACTCCCTTTGTGTCCTTGGCACTGTATAGCCTTCTCCCACCATAGAAAGCAATGCTCAATTGTAGTAAAGGATTTCATTTACTTGGCTTTTTCCTGGCGTGGTGCCACATGGGGTGGAGCCACCTGGATGCATTCAATAGATAATAAGGTGGTAGAATGGGCAGGAATTGGCTACTGAAAAGATATAAAGGACAAGGAAGAAGAATGAAGGATGATGTTTCCGTTTTTGACTTGGACATCTGGGTGTATGCGGCTGCTGTTTCCTTAGCTGGAACGTGAGAAGGACCAGGTTTGGTGGGAAAGGGCATGGGGGAAATGTGAATTCAGTTGAAGACATATTGGCTGTAAATATGTCCAACAAGCAGTTGCATATACGGGTCTAGAGTTTGTGTGGAAGAGGAGAGCTGTAGATGTAGACTTGGGAATCATTAGAACATAAATATGCCATTTAACTTGGTTCCTCATGGCACCCATTTATTTTAATGAATTTACCCCTTAAATATTTGCCTTAAGATTTTAAATTAATGAAAAGCAGTTAGTTACAATATTATACTGTGTTTGTATACGTACACACACACATATACACACAAAGCATTTATTTTCCCTTTAGGTGTCTTGAAGGTTCCCAGCCAGTGAGAGCTAGAGTGGTAGGGTGTCCTGTGCATTCTCAGCCGATGAGCGGTAATGAGGCAGACTGCCCTCTGTGCTTTCAACCAATGAGGGTTCCACACCAGGCTGAAGTCGCTCCAGCACGTGAATGCTCTTCCCCTTGACCTGAGTTGAGGGTGTGCTGCATTGTTTACTCTGCTGAACCTTCTTGCTCTGCCATTTATTGTTTCCGTTGAATGGTTTTGACTGTGGCTCAGGGCCTGAACTAGGATGAGACTAGCAAGATGCTCCTTCTCTGCTAACAGAGAAGATCTGCTGCTAAAGAACAGTTGCCCTGGGAGTTAAAATGTAGAACTAGTGGTTTCCTTCAAGGAAAGGGTGGTGGGAAACAAGGGCCGGCTGATATATTGGTGACAATTATGATGCATCCAGGTGTGGGCAGTCAGGTAGAAAATGAGACTGGATGAGATCATCAAACTAGAAAAGAGAAGAGGTTCAAGGACCAAACCTTGGGGCACTTCACCATTAAGAGGCCAGTGGAAGAAGCAGCAAAAGGGACTGAGAAGGGGCAGCCAGTTGTGAAGGATAAAACCCAACATAGTGTGTTGTACTGGAAGCCAAGTGAAGAAAATGAAGAAAAAGGACTGACCACTATGTGAAATGCTGCTGGCAGGTCAAAGAAGATGAGGATAAAGTTGGCCACTGACTTTAGCAGAATAGAGTTCCTTGGTTGCTTTGACAAGAGCAGTTGTGGTGGAAGAATGCTTGATTAGTGTGAGATGGAGGGCTTCTTGGAGAACTGGCTGAGTCCAGATCTGGGGTGGGAAATGTGCAAGATGAATCTGGAACATCATGTCACGCCACATAGGAAAAAATCCCATAAAAAACTACTAGAGTTATATTAAAATTAAAGAGGTGCCCACAGGCCAAAAATGATTTGAGCTTCTATTTGGATAATGTATGCAATAGATTGAAACACACCAAATATGCTTAGATCTGTGAGTTCTGTAAAAAAAAAATTGGGGACACTTTCAGAGGATAAGAAACCAATTCATTATCTTAAAAACTGACAAAGGGGGAAAAAATCAAGCTTTTTTTTCTGCCTTATCTCTATGAACTATGCCACTGGTAAGCCAAGTGGTAGATGAGGGAAGTGTCTCCTTATAAACATATTTTAGCTAACAAATGAAAAGGAAATGATGGAATATCACCCCTTTGCATCCATTAATCTAGGCATTAAGCATCAACAGCTGCTAACATCACACAAAGAGAAAAAGCTGTATGTTATGATCCTCCTCGCCAAATACAGTCTTGCCAAAGGGATCTATTCTGAGTGTAAGTGAGTCTCTGGATCTAGCTGCCAATTGCAGGAAATACAGGGAACAGAGGAACTTGTTAACCTGCACAATGAGTATGCATTCCACACAATCTGGAGTGTGGGAACCTCTACACGTCAAATGGCTTGGTTTCTTCAATAGATTATAAGGGAAAGAAGGGGATGGAGAGGGGCCCTGAAGATTAAAAGACACTTAAAAGACACATTTTGGGGACAGGGAATATATGTAACTATTTGGGGGAATTTTAATATAAAGGCAGACTGAGAAATATCTTAATAACTAGAGGGGAAAGTAGAATGAAGAGAGAGTTTTCTCTTCTAAGAGAAATGGAGGCAAGTTTGGATATTGACGACCATGACACCAAAGAGAGGGAGAAATGGAAGTTGCAGGAGAGAAGTGAGAATTTTGGGGGTCATGGGCCGGAGTAGACTAAAGGCAGTGGGCTGTGGCATACCAGATGTGGTGGGCCCTGCTAGGAGCACCTGCCACTCCATTCCCATCACAGCACAAGTGAATGCAGATGTGGTGGCTGGGTGGCAGTGTGGTGGGCTGTGTATGGAGGTCCTCGTTAGATGGCTTCAGTTTTCTCAGGGAAATAGGAAGCAAGGTTATGAGAGAGTGGGAAGGTGGAAAGAGGTCCTGGAGGTTTCAAGTTTCATAATCATAAAATTCCTTTGCAGGCAAAGAGGAGAAAGGGCCTGCCCTCCCCCTCCTACAGGCTGATTCTGAGGCCTCTCCATGGGAGGCAGGGTGTCTCTCAAAGCTTGGGGCTCTGAGTGAAAGCAGCAGCTGTCTGCTTGGGCACTTAGAGCCAGAGTTAGCATGGGTCTTCTCCTCTGGTCTTGGCTGGAGATTTTTGGTTGCAGGTACAACTCGTTGGATTTTGCAATCACATTTTCTTGTCTCAGTATGAAAAGTCAAAGAAATTACAAAGTACCTGTGTTACAGCTGGGTAAACTGATGGTTCCTGTTGACAGGCTCCTGCATACATTGCAGTGTGGTAGCTGGGTGTAAAGGACCCAGAAGAATATGTACATGCAGACACACAGAGTGTTCATTCCATTAGAGGAACCCATGTGAATTTTCTTAAAAATTGTGTCTGTATTGATAGGACTTCTTTCTCTGGACACTACCTCAAGGTCAACCAGCAGCATCAATAAAGAGCTACCTCCCTTGGAAAATCGCTGCTACAGAGGAAGAGATTAGGAAGGCGATATCAAATCAGTTTATTTCCAATACTAGAAGAGACTTTGTGGACAGAGCAAAAGGTAAACGTGTTCATTTTTCTCCTTTTCCTGGTTATGTGTTGTACGCTGGCATCGCAGTGGTAAACAGCACAGATACAGTCTCTTCTCTCAAGGAACTCACAGTATAGACACAGGAAAAGGCAGGTTGGCAAACAAAGATAGTCAAGTATGAAAAGGTGGACCATGTGGGAAATGCTGTGGGTGCGTGCTGTAGGACATGGAGCCTAAAAGAAAGGCCTTCCTGGCCTGAAAAACGAGCATGAAAGAACATGACGAAGATGAAGGGGTCAAGTTAAACATGCTGTTTCCAATTACTGCTATATTTATTTATTTATTTATTTATTTATTTATTTATTTATTTATTTATAAATTTTATTATGTTATGTTAGTCACCATACACTACATCATTAGTTTTTGATGTAGTGATCCACGATTTATTGTTTTTGTATAACACCCAGTGCTCCATGCAGTACACACCCTCCTTAATACCCATCACCGGGCTAAGGCATCCCCCCCCACCCAAAACCCTCAATTTGTTTCTCAGAGTCCATAGTCTCTCATGGTTCATCTCTATTGCTATTTTTAAAAATTAAAACTTACTTTTATTAAACTAATGTATGCATACAGTGAAATCAAATAGTAACATAAGGGCTTATTACAAAATAACAGCAGTTCTTTGACCCCATTGGTAATCATCTCAATCCTTTCAACTGTTTCTTATGTAATCCTCCATGTTTTAAAATAATATGCATATACTGCTATTTTTGATTCATCAATTTTAGACATTATTATTGACTTCCTGTTATGGTGGTTGAGGATTTGGCTCTCCTGTAACTCTTTATCACACCCTTGCCATCCATTCTCTCAATAATTATATTACAAATTCTTGTTTAATTCAATTGCTAATGTTTATATTGTGGTGATATGATGATATGATTATGTAAACATTCACTGCTGATCCAGGTGGTATTTTATGATTGTTTCCTTTCCTTTTTGCTTTCTTTCTTTGTTTTGTTTTGTTTTGTTTTTTTACCAGAGTTAATAATTGAATTTTTTTTTTCATATGCTTAGTCTTATATGTTCCTGTCACTAATTTTTTCCAAATACTTTGTCACATACTTACCAGGATTTTTTCCCAACACAGTTTCAAACACTCTACCACTTCTAGTATTTTTTTCCCAGAGATGATCTTTCTGACACTCTTCATCATTCTCCTCTAATCTAGACTGGTTTTTCTGTGGGTTTGCTGCCCAACAGTGCCCTGAGACTTCCTTTTTCATCATTCTGGGAATTGCTTTGGCCTCTGCCTGCCTGCATTGGATCTTGTTTCCTCTTCCTCTTTCTTGTCCCTCTTCCCTGGTTTTGCTGAAGCACATCTTCCAGTAGTTTCCTAAGAAAGAGTACATGGGAGGAACTTTTTTGAATGTGTTCTTTCCAATTTGGAAATGTCCTTTTTTTCTTCCTTGCTCTTGTCTGATAGTTTGGCTGGATATAAAATTCTAGGATGGTAATCACTTTCCCTTAGAATCCATTCCTCCAAATGTCCTCTAGCATCCAGAATTTCTTTTTTGAAGACTGATGCCATTTTGATTCCTGACCCTGTTGTATTTTTTTTTTCTGGAAGTGCTTAAGATCCTCTTTATTCCTGACATTCTAAATTTCACAGCTGTTTGCATTAGTAAGAATCTTTTGTCATTGATTATGTTGGACATTCAGGGGTTCTAGAAGCTAGAATCATGTCCTTCAATTCTGGGCATTGTTTCCTGCATAGTTCCTTCCTACTCTTTTCCCATCTCTTTTCTCTGTTCTCTTCTGGGATTCCTATTAGTTGGATTGATCCTCCAATTTTCTTACCTTTTCTCTCCTAGTATCTTTCTCTTTGTATTTTTCTTGTGCTAACTTGAAAAATTCTTTACCTTTTAATGTAGTTCTTCTATTGAATTTTTAATGTCCAAGCTTTAGTTCTTCCTCTTTTTTTTTTATTCTTATGTTAATCCCCATACATTACATCATTAGTTTTAGATGAAGTGTTCCATGATTCATTGTTTGTGCACAACACCCAGTGCTCCATGCAGAATGTGCCCTCCTCAATACCCACCACCAGGCTAATCCATCCTCCCACCCCCCTCCCCTCTAGAACCCTGTTTGTTTTTCAGAGTCCATCGTCTCTCATGGTTCGTCTACCCCTCCGATTTCCCCCGCTTCATTCTTCCCCTCCCTCTACCTTCTTCTTCTTCTTCTTCTTCTTTTTTTTTCTTAACATATATTGCATTATTTGTTTCAGAGGTACAGATCTGAGATTCAACAGTCTTGCACAATTCACAGCGCTTACCAGAGCACATACTCTCCCCAGTGTCTATCACCCAGTCACCCCATCCCTCCCACCCCACCCCCCACTCCAACAACACTCAGTTCGTTTCCTGCGATTAAGAATTCCTCATATCAGTGAGATCGTATGATACATGTCTTTCTCTGTTTGACTTATTTCACTCAACATAATACCCTCCAGTTCCATCCATGTCATTGCAAATGGCAAGATCTCATTCCTTTTGATGGCTGCATAATATTCCATTGTATATATATACCACATCTTCTTTATCCATTCATCTGTTGATGGACATCTTGACTCTTTCCACAGTTTGGCTATTGTGGACATTGCTGCTATAAACATCAGGGTGCACGTACCCCTTCAGATCCTTACTTTTGTATCTTTGGGGTAAATACCCAGTAGTGCAATTGCTGGATCATATGGTAGCTCTATTTTCAACTTTTTGAGGAACCTCCATACTGTTTTCCAGAGTGGCTGCACCAGCTTGCATTCCCACCAACAGTGTAGGAGGGTTCCCCTTTCTCCGCATCCCCGCCAACATCTGTCGTTTCCTGACTTGTTAATTTTAGCCATTCTGACTGGTGTGAGGTGGTATCTCATTGAGGTTTTGATTTGGATTTCCCTGATGCTGAGCGATATTGAGCACTTTTTCATGTGTCTGTTGGCCATTTGGATGTCTTCTTTGGAAAAATGTCTGTTCATGTCTTCTGCCCATTTCTTGATTGGATTCTTTGTTCTTTGGGTGTTGAGTTTGATGAGTTCTTTATAGATTTTGGATACTAGCCCTTTATCTGATATGTCATTTGCAAATATCTTCTCCCATTCTGTCGGTTGTCTTTTGGTTTTGTTGACTGTTTCCTTTGCTCTGCAAAAGCTTTTTATCTTGATGAAGTCCCAATAGTTCATTTTTGCCCTTGCTTCCCTTGCCTTTGGCGATGTTTCTAGGAAGAAGTTGCTTCGGCTGAGGTCAAAGAGGTTGCTGCCTGTGTTCTCCTTTAGGATTTTGATGGACTCTTGTCTCACATTGAGGTCTTTCAACCATTTGGGGTCTATTTTTGTGTGTGGTGTAAGGAAATGGTCCAGTTTCATTCTTCTGCATGTGGCTATCCAATTTTCCCAACACCATTTGTTGAAGAGACTGTCTTTGTTCCATTGGACATTCTTTCCTGCTTTGTCGAAGATTAGTTGACCATAGAGTTGAGGGTCCATTTCTGGGCTCTCTATTCTGTTCCATTGATCTATGTGTCTGTTTTTGTGCCAGTACCATGCTGTCTTGATGATGACAGCTTTGTAATAGAGCTTGAAGTCCGGAATTGTGATGCCGCCAGCTTTGCTTTTCTTTTTCAACATTCCTCTGGCTATGCGGGGTATTTTCTGGTTCCATACAAATTTTAGGATTATTTGTTCTATTTCTTTGAAAAAAGTGGATGGTATTTTGATGGGGATTGCATTGAATGTGTAGATTGCTCTAGGTAGCATGGACATCTTCACAATATTTGTTCTTCCAATCCATGAACATGGAACGTTTTTCCATTTCTTTGTGTCTTCCTCAATTTCTTTCATGAGTATTTTATAGTTTTCTGAGTACAGATCCTTTGTCTCTTTGGTTAGATTTATTCCTAGGTATCTTATGGTTTTGGGTGCAATTGTAAATGGGATCGACTCCTTAATTTCTCTTTCTTCTGTCTTGTTGTTGGTGTATAGGAATGCCACTGACTTCTGTGCATTGATTTTATATCCTGCCACTTTACTGAATTCCTGTATGAGTTCTAGCAGTTTTGGGGTGGAGTCTTTTGGGTTTTCCACATAAAGTATCCTATCATCTGCAAAGAGTGAGAGTTTGACTTCTTCTTTGCCAATTTGGATGCCTTTGATTTCTTTTTGTTGTCTGATTGCTGTGGCTAGGACTTCCAATACTATGTTGAATAGCAGTGGTGATAGTGGACATCCCTGCCGCGTTCCTGACCTTAGGGGGAAAGCTCTCAGTTTTTCCCCATTGAGAATAATATTCGCTGTAAGTTTTTCATAGATGGCTTTTATGATATTGAGGTATGTACCCTCTATCCCTATACTCTGAAGAGTTTTGATCAAGAAAGGATGCTGTACTTTGTCAAAAGTTTTTTCTGCATCTATTGAGAGGACCATATGATTCTTGTTCTTTCTTTTGTTAATGTATTGTATCACATTGATTGATTTGCGGATGTTGAACCAACCTTGCAGCCCAGGGATAAATCCCACTTGGTCATGGTGAATAATCTTTTTAATGTACTGTTGGATCCTATTGGCTAGTATTTTGGTGAGAATTTTTGCATCCATGTTCATCAGGGATATTGGTCTGTAATTCTCATTTTTGATGGGGTCTTTGTCTGGTTTTGGGATCAAGGTAATGCTGGCCTCATAAAATGAGTTTGGAAGTTTCGTTCTTCCTCTTGATAATTTTTTTTTGTTTGAAGAATAAAATTAATAAGCATATTTACTGCAATATATAGACCCTGCCTTCAACATGATTATTTTTTAAATAGCATTCTGTTCTTGTTCTATACATGTAGTAATTCTCTTACAAATTTTAGGATATTTATGATATATTTAATTTTCAACATTTTCATCTATTCCTTGCTTTGTCTCTATTTTCTCTGAGCATTTTAATGGTCTAATGAAAATTTGGTCTTTTCATATTTACAAGAGAGCAGAGGCAGATTTACTATCACACTAATAAAACTTGTCTCAATTCTGTGGACACTTCTTTTTCTTGAAGTGAGAGTATGCAAAATATTAATCTCTTAGATTCACAAAACCTACAAGGGAGATACTCAAATCTGATTGGAAGCTACATACAGAGATGGGGCTTGTTAGCTGGTGCTTGATTTAGGTGATTAGTTGATAAGCTCTCTTTTGGTTGGGAAACCCCCAAATGCCTGTATTTAAAGGTCAGTTTCTTCAGGGAGATAAACACTTGGCTGTTGGCATTCTGAGACCAGGATTGGGGAGGTAAATGGGATCTTCCTGCATGTTGTGCAGATTCTCACTGAACACTTCTTTTTCCTGTTGGGCATCCCACTACACCCACTTCCACTGTGCCTGATGTCCTGGCATCCAGAGCTTCTTTGGTTCAGTTTTGCACCTAATAAACTTCTGGTTAGGAAAGGACAGCCAAATGACTGCATGAAGTTAAGAAGATGGTGCAGGAACTCTATTCACTCTGTATATAAGCTCTCACCCAAGCCTCTTGTTTTCAGCCTGAGCTGCAGTACCTGCCTTCCCCTGTACCTGTTACAGAAGCCTGTTGGTGTTCTATAGTGTAGATTAGCTCACTGTTTTGTTATCCCCTTCGGCAGTCACTTAGTTTTAGCTTCCTCTACTTTGCTAATTCATTTGGCACATCTGTGTTTGATTTCCATCTTCTAAAAATGTGTTAACCTCTAATATACTATCATTCTGGTGAAATTTGGGGAAGGAGGAGCCAAATATGGTATAGAGATGATCTTTTATGAATCTGAACTGGATCATATTATTCTATTGCTTTATTTCACTGGCTTTGCATTGCACTTTGAATAAAATCCAAGTTTCAGTTCCTTCTCTCTGTTCATAATGTCCTGCAAGGCTGGTCTAGACTTTGCTTCCCTCCTCACCGTTCCTTCATGCTCCATCCCCCTCATTCACCAGGCTCCGGCCACATGGGCCTTTTTAAAATTCCTATAGGATGTCAATTTTTTCCCCCACCTTCAGCCAGTGTGCAGGCTGTCCCCTTTGCCTGCATTGTACTTCTCCCAGCTCCTTCTGTGACTTTACTGTGTCATTTTATGGACTCCAGCTTAAATGTCACCTTGCCTATGAGAGCTTTCCTTACTATTTTATCTGAAGAGGGGTGCCACCGCCTCATTTGTTACCTTCTAGGGCCTTGCATTTTCAGTTGTTTGTTTACTGATTCTTGTTTGTTGTTTTTGTTTTGCTCTTTCCTTCACTATTCAGTGGGTGCCCCAAAGGCCTTTATTCACTCAGAATCTAGTGCAAAATATATAATCTAGTCCTGGTGTAGAGGAGACGCTCTGTAAATATTTGCTGAATGATGGAAAAAATATATGGGAAGTGCACTTTTTGAAGTTAGTTGAGTACAGAATCAAAAGACCTCCATACTTCAGATAAACATTAAGGGTGATGGGAAGACTTTTGAAATGTCAGCATTCTTAAAAGATGTCTTCGAGCTTCTAATCAAAGTCCTTTCAGTGTGCACAAATTACCATTTCCCCATGTGTAGATAAATACCCAAGACCTGCCAAGAGTCTCTCCTAAATCTCTTAGCTCCATCTGCTTCTCTTCCTCCCCAAAGCCACTGCTACCCATGTCTCCTCCTTGGATGACCTCTAATCCAGCTCCCTTTTCCAGTTTTGTCACCTCCAATCCACAGCCCATCCTATAGTCATAGCAAGTTTCCAGATATGCAAATTGATATCACCTTCCAGCTGAAAACCCATTGTCCTCAGGATAAAAGCTAAATGCCTTAATGTGAGTCTGTGCAATCTGGTCCCTGCCTGCTGTGCCAACATTCTCCCTTGCCACCCCCCACACTCTCCATGAGACCCACTGCCCTCCTTCCTCTGGACTCACCGTGGCTCTGGCAGCCTTGTGCCTTTTGTACACACTGCTTCCTTCCTATGGAACACCTGTCCCTCCCTTCTTTTAGCCTATGTCTACCCGTAAGTTAAGTCTAAATATAGGCTTCACTTCTCTCCTGGGAATCTCCTCTGATCCTCCAAGTTTGGATCGGTGGCTCTCCCATATGTTATAGATCTTATTCTAATCTCTTTTGCAGCATTTATCACCTAATATTGCAATTCTCTTTTTTTGCACCTGTTTCTCTAATGCTTTAAGCTTCTGAAACACAGGGACCATATCTTATCTTTGTATCCTTATGGTATTAAGGCAAATGAGTGAGAAGCACTGAAGGGTACTTGTTTCACATTCAGGCTTGGAGAACTTGGCTTTGATGAATTGGGACAGCAGAACTAGTTCTCACTTGGCTGTAGATTATGTGGCCAGTGGTCCTAGTGGTTTTGAATAGTCCTTGCTGTAGATGTACTTTTGAACTGGGCCTTTCTGCAAATGCCATATTAATCTTCAATGGGCCGGTTTCTCTCTTTGGGCTATAGCTACGCTAGTGTAGCATCACTGTTATCAAGAGGAAAAGAAACAGTGGGAGGTGAGGTCCTGAGGAACACAGATGGCTCCCTGGGAGGAGTCCAGGCCTTGGAGGTGCTGTTAGCATTGGGTCTGTTTAGCTCTGAGTCATGGTTATCCTGTCCGTCCAAACTTCAGTACCACTATGGGGACTTCAGAGGTTGGTTGGATCCTTTGTATCAAGAACTTCTCTTCTTAATAATGCTAAAGGAACTCATTAACATGAAATTTTATAAAGGCAATAAAAACATGAGTTGAGAAGAACTAAAGATTACTGTAAGCATATATCACATAGTCACTAGAGTGTGGTTCAGATTGTTCCTGATTTTTTCTTTCACTCCCTCATTAATTTGATAAACATTTAATGAGGTCTGTTACTGTAATAAGTGCTAAGGTAGCAATGAAGAGTAAGACAATCTTTATCTTCAAAGGAACTCAGCAAGTCTAGGCCCTGATTTTTGTCTTTTCTGAGTCTTCATCTCCAATTGCTCCACTATGCTGGTTCGTCATGGTCTACGTGGACCAGCCCCTCAAGACGATTTGCAAACTGGTTCCTCACTTCTCTTGCTTCACCCTCAGCTACTTCTCCCTGCCCTGCATATCTTATACTCCTGCCAGCCAGACCATACTTCAAAAACACCCTGCACATCTTTTGCTTCGGTGTTGACACATCATCAAAGCACATCCTTTGCTGTGTCTGCCTTTTAATTCTTGTCTTCCTTCCCTCCCTTAACAGAGCTCATTGTATGCTCTCTGGCCTTCTGTAGCACCTACTGAAGGCTCTGAGGGAGTGATTCTTAAGTATATGGGAAGCTTGTTCACAGTGTAAGTACCTGGGCCCCACTTCTAGAGCTTCTCAATGTCTGGGAGGTTCAGCAAATATGTTTTGTAAAAACCTTCCTTGGTAAGTCTGATGTATTATCTCCATGTGAGAACCATGGTTTCAAGTGTTAGGGTTATAAGACATCACATTCCACATCTGTTTGTCCTGTATATATCTTTCTAATCACACTAGATTGAGGTTGTATTAAGGTAGAACAATGACTACATTATATTTAATTTTGGCACAGAACACATATAGGAACTGAAAACATTTGCTATTGAGTGGTCGCTCTAGGGAAGAAGGATAAGCATACATATCAAGTACTTCAACAGGAATTTGTTTTTCTCCTATAAAGCTATCAGCAATTTACATAAACCAAGTTATAGATGGTGCTTACCAGGAACAATACCAGATGATTTTCCAAGATATCTTAAAGGATGTCCCGATATTAAGCCCTAGAGTTGCCTCTTCCCTATAACCTTGTCTTCTCCTTGGGCAGTGTATGAGGTCATTATAAGGCCCATTGAATATCACGTCCTCTTTTCCTGAGTCATCTAAATGAAGAGGCAGCATGTAGTGAAACTTTCTCTCACTCTTCTGGTCTAGACAGAGATCATTTTTTTAAAAATCAATATTAAAATGCTCTTAGATGCCAGTAGATAACATGATATATTGTTTAATGTACATTTGAATTTATTTTGAAAAGACCTATTGAAGAATGGATTCAGAACAAGATTCAAGTTTAGTTTCAATAGTAATTAGCACTGTTTGGATATAGTGCATGCTTTCCATGTCTTCAACACTTTTGTCTTGAATAAAGTTGGTGTTATATATGATGTGCCTCTGAACCAACACTTGATGGCAAGGATTAAGGATGAACTCATTCTAAGGGAGATGGCTTGCAAGTCCTCTATTATCTGGTAGTGTTTGTGGAACCTGGCATTCAGTCAGTGCTTCATAGATATTTAACGATTATATATTTAATAACTAGTTGTTAGCAGAGTTATTTCAAAGAAATAATAGTGCTATTGTCCACCAATGACAACAATGTTACCTAACCCTCCAGCAGTAAGGGATAAGCTTCAAGTGGTTCTTTTCCAGGTAATGGAAAATTGATGATATGCACTGTCCCATCTAGGGCTGCCAGATTTAACAAATAAAAATATAGGATGGCCTGTTAAATTTGAATAATTATACATAGTAGATAAACAATGAGCACTTATACACACTTACACCAAGAAATTATTCATTATTTATCTGAAATTCAAATTTAACTGCCATCTTATGTTTTATATGTCAACCCTAGCCTTATCTAAAATCTCTCACTCTGCTCCCCACCCCTGCCCCAGGGACTAGGCAGGCCTACTGGAAAGAGGAATGCCTTCTGTGTCCACCCAGCAGAGCAAAAGAGCACTCTTAACTGACATATGATATCTTCATTAGAAGCTGCTTCTAATCATGGGAGCGTATACTTCCTGTGCCTGATAAAGCAGAAAGTTATTTCTTGGTTGAAATATCCATAAAAACTACATTGATTGTACCTCTAAATACAAGAAGAGCAGGTTTAGTGTGATCAATTGGAAGGTACTGCCAGAAGCAAAAGGGGGAAAATAGGATGTTATTTTAAATAGCTTACAAGGACTTCTGCATTTGTAACCCCACCCCAGCTCAGAAGATTAAGGAAAGTTCTCCCATGTCTCTGGAATGGAAAAAGTTACTTCCCCGGCCTGCAGACACTGAATTTCGACGGAATTACCAAGTTCCAGCTAAAATTCCTGAGTTGCAGGATTTTAGTTTCAAATATGGATGCTACTCAAGCCTACCAGTTGCTTCTCAGGGTCTCGGTAAGTACACCTGTAGCTTTTAAAGCAACTTCATAGATTCTGTCCTTGTTCCAAGATTCTTCGGCACACGGGGCCCTGGCAGGTAATCTTGGTAACAGTTATGAAGAATGCCAGCGATTCCTGCATCCCTGCAAGGAATCAAAACTATGCCTAGCTTCAAACCCAGGGAATGAGTAAGCCTTGGAAAAGAGCTGATTGCTTATGCTATGAAATGAGTACCTGCTCTGCCTGGCGACAGGGCGGCGGGGAGGCGGAGGAGGAAGGTGGGGTAATGGGGGAGAGTGGAAGCAGTTGTTGGGATTGGCAGACGTTTCCCCTTTATAAAACAAAAGGAAGGACTTAGTTGCTATCAAATGACCAAAAAAGAGACTGGATAGGACTCACATTAGACTTGTCAATTATCCACTGGAAGCTTAACCATATGGTATATCCATCAAGCATCTTCAAATTTGACAACCATTCTATTCAAGTGATCTTTTATGATCCTGATTCCTATTGTTTTCAACAAAAAAGTTTTTAAAAGTTCCATGGCCAAGCCACCTCGACGCTACTGGTTGAGAGTATAATTTGGAGTCAGTCTGAGATAGTGATCTATTCCTGGCATGGAGTTGGAATCAAGTAGTGCTGCAGACAAAAATCACAGGATAGAAACTTAACATCTCGAGGTTAGAAGACAGCCTAGAAGTCACCTCACACTATGTGGGAATCCCCTCTATCCCGTCCTTGCCAAGGGGTGATGTCGTCACTCTTTGGGGGAGTGCCCCCCCCAAGGCAACTTTTTCATTTTTGGATACTGTTGGAAAGTTCCCAATATCTGGAAACTCTCTTGCATAAACTTTGGCTTTGGTTCTACTTCTTCCTACAGAGGTTAACTAGTATAAATTATTCTATGAAAATCTTACTACGTATCTTCCATATTCTCTTCTCAAAACATTTCCAGACCTTATAAACACTCTTCTCAGGATGTAGCATCAAAGTACCCTCACCAGTCTCTTCCTCCCACCAGCTGGTGGTCCCTGTAAAGGGGACACCTGGAACAAAAAGCAGTATTTAAGGTGTCCTTAAGATTTACAAAGATTAGGCATGTTGTAGAAATTAGGTTCTCACATCATGTTTTCATTGCTTTTTTTTTTGTCATTATAATTCCATGACTATCAGAACCCACATTAAATGAGCAATACTCAGAATCAAACATAAATGATTTAGGTTTTGCTTGCACCTGATACCTTTATTAGTCTGAATGTGCAGTGAGTGCTGGCTGGACATTTCATCACTACTCATCCGCACTCACCTGGGTCCCTGAGGGACTCCTCAGTGTGTCAGCCCACGTCTGCACAGGAGATGGTACGAAAGGGAAAGAAGCTTCTATGAAGGCATTTGTTTACTAAGGAGGTAGTGAATGCTACTATCCCAACATGCTGACCTGCAGAAGAGTCGATTTCAGGGAGAACTTTTCTGAGAATGGTAGTCACACTGGAGTTTCTGGCCATCAGCCCCTGTCACCCCCACTGCCAGCAGCAACCGTCCTGAGTCACAGCAGCTCTGCATAGCCTGAATCGTGGGAAGAGTTACTCCTACTGTGCCTCGCTTTCCAGTACCTCAAGGTTGCTCATTAAGCTCCAAGTGGGGCTCATGGCCGTTGGGGGTGCATTTGGCAAATAAGGGCAGGAATTCTTTGCTCAGTGACAGCCTCCATGTCTTTCCTTCCCCTGTGTCCCCCTAGTCCCTGCTGTGCTATGCAGCCACGTGAGGAATCAAGAACGCACAAAGAAGCAGACTACATACCAAAGCGATTATGGAAAAACCTATCTGGATTTCTTAACGATTTTAAACTCGTTTACTCCCTCCCAAGTCACAGAGTACCTTCAGAGTGTTTCCTACAAAGGTAGGAGGAGGTCTTGAGTTACTATTGAATGAATTTACAGATCGTAATACATTGCTTTTTATGCCAAATAGAAATAATCCCAACGTTTAGCCACTGGAGTTAAATGTTCACAAGAAGATAAACATTGCCTCAAAGAAATCCCATAGTTTTGTGTAAACCTCAACCCACTGAAAATAAATTTTTCTTAAAAGAGGCCCCAGTGACAGTAGCCCGGCTTGTTGAAAAAGAAACATCTAGCCTTTCACTCCTTTCTGATCTCACTCATTTCCCTCCTTCAACCCGTGGTTGCATTTCTCCAGGATGATTTCTGGTTTTATTACAGTTAAGTGATTTCTTCTGTGGGTGTTTATGCTGTCTCACAGTTTTGTTTTATGCATAATCTTTATTTCCTGTCTGATGGTACTTTTGGTGACAGGCTTTTTAGGGTACATGAGAATCTCTGTGTAGAATATCCACCAAAAGAGCAAAGGCCGTTCTCAGGACGGTGTTAGTTCATTCTGTATAACAAACACTTATCCTAGCTCCGGGCCCCGGGGACTGGAATCTGCTTGGGAGCATCTCAGGGGCAACTGGTCAGTCTGTGCATGTATAAGATGTCAACTCAGAGACTAGGAGGTGGAGGAGAGGAAACTAAACTCTTCCAGCAGCTGCCCTCAGCATCCCCTGCTAGTGATCACACTCCCTGTTACTCCCCGTTTTTGAGCACATGACCCAATGCAGACATAATTTATTTCTATAAAGTGTATCCATACGCCACTAAACTAGTGTACTATGTAAGTTATAAAACATACTAAATGCTGAAAACAGAAGTAAAAAACGATACAGTATAATGTTATAGAACATAGATATGTAGACTATAAATATAGGTTCTAATATTTCTTCCTGCACACCATGGACCATCTTATACCTGCCACTTGGTGCTTCAGGCTCTGTGGCGGTCACTGCCTTGTTTTGTGCCCTCTGGTCAGGCTTAACTTGGAACTTCCACCAGCTCCTCAGTAACCCTCCAACTGCTCCCTGCCTCCTGCCTGCCTTGGGTCCCCAATCTCTGTCCTTTGCCTGTCCCCAGCTAAATCCTCACCGAAACCCTGTTAGGCTAGGATCTTGTGCCCCACACGAAACCGAAACCCTGCTATAGGCAAGACTGGCGAGGGGGTGTGCATGTGTGTGTAAGGAGGGAAAGAGGGTACTTTCCATGATTGCAGACTGAGGGTTGATGACCCAAAGGCCCTTAAAAGAGCTCGAACGTTGGGTTTTAAGAAGTACCAGAAGCAGGTGTTTTGCCTCACCCTAAGGCACAGGCAGAAGCCTGTGTTTGCCATTGGGAGCCTTGTTCCTCTCAACAGCAGCTTCTGGGCCAGTGTGACACTTCAGAAGGAAACCAAGAGGCTCCTTGAGGTCGGCTGCTCAGGTCTTCCTGGAAGGCAGAGCAGAAGCTACCCATCAAGCTCCAGCCTGCTTTCCATTCTTTCCATCCCAGCTCGGGTTCGTATATATAAAACCATAGTCTGCATTTTGTAATGTGTTCTTTTCACCTTTGGAGCTACATCTGTTTGACCCTACAGAGTGCGCCCAAAGCAGATGCTCCCATCTGCCCAGGGACTTGCGATGCGGGTGGAGTTGGTGCTTCTCAGCCTGCATGGGAAAACCACGGTGGCTGCCGGCACCTCTGTCCTTGGTTGTGTGTGTGTGTGATCTGTAATCGAGCCTTAGTGGTGCCCCTCAAGGGTGAACTGAGGACTCGGCAGGTGCTTTGACATCCTCTGCTCTACTCGGAGCTACCTTCTCCAAGATTCCTAGCCTAAGCTGATTCAGTTGGGCTTTTCCAGTTGGGTTTCCTCCCCAAACAAGTAACACATGATCTATTACCTAACAAGGTAGCTTTAGGGCCGATCTAGACCTTGGTTGCTTTTCAGGTATCCCGCTTTCCTGGTGCCCTTAGGACAGCACTGGGGGCAGATACCCAGATGCTCAGGCCCCAGAGCCTTGACATTTTGCACTGACTTGGACGTTTGTAGGATCTGCTTGCTATGGGTTTTAGTTTCTCTTTCCTAGTTTTGCATGCGAATGACCTACTCATCAGCCAGCTATGCCAGAGGCTGACAAGCAAGTAGGAGGTTCCCTTTGAATTCTTATGCCCCAAAACTCTCGTCATTTTCTTGCCATTTAGTTGTCATTAGTGTCTGGGAGGACGTTAATTCTTTCCGGATGGTGAGTGTCTCAGCAGAGCTCATGTATGGTAGGGCTGAGCCAGTATGCAAGAGAATAAAAAACTTGGCAGATACACTAGGCTGAATGAATTATTATTACCTCGCTTAAAGTATTTTACTGGATTATCCCTCTTGGCAGTATTGATACCCGTTCTGGTACATTTTGAAAGAGAGAGGGGAACATCATGGCCTAAATCAGGGGGCTAGGGAGATGGTGGTGTGAGGTTGGATAGAGAAGATTCCAGGAAGACACAAAATGAAGCTAGGGAAATAAGAAAGGAGGAGCAGCTTAAGGCAAACCCTTTGTTTCCAATAATTCTATGTTTTGCTATTTGGTATTGAGTTTCTCTATTATAACTTGAGAGATTTGAACTAAATGAATTTAGTGGCCATTTTGTTTTCAAAATTGTTTTAATCTTGAGTGATTCAGACCACCCAACATCTTACTCTTTGGGCCTCTGTTATTTATTGGTAAAGACCGTCATCTCCCTACTTATCCCCCACCTTAAAAGACAAAATTATCTGAACTCTGGTTTTCAGAATCTTTCAGCTATCACTTCCTCCCCATCTCTTCCAATCCAAACTCCCATGCATATGGCTATCCAAAGGGTATTTCTTCCTAGGCTGTGATTCAGTATTGTTAAGAATATATTCAGTGACTCAAGGAACTTCATTGACTGAATACCTGTAATGCTCACTTGATACAAAGATAAATAAAAAACAATTCCTCCTTTTCAAAGAACTTGTCACCAGGTGTGGGAGACAGACACATAGGTAGAATGTGATAAACTCTGTAATCAAAATGGTCTTTGGGTATATTAGAAGCCTACAAGGGGTACTCCCAGCCTGCTGGATTGAAAGGGCTTTAGGGAAGGCTGCTCCGAAACCTCTTTTAAAGGTCAAGGATGAATCAACATGATAAGCAGAAGCAGAGACATTCAGAGGGAGCAGAGGGAACAGCATAAGCAAAAACATGGGGACATGAATCTGCATCGATGCATAATAAATACAGGCAGCATTTGAATTACAACTGGTAGCCTTTTTGAACAGTTGTTTAAGTTGATATTAAATTTGATACCATCTCATCTTTTTTATTCATTCATGCTGAACTTGATTCATCTTGTATGCTTATCTTTGGCATAAGGAGTATTTTTTTTATTCGTTTGCTTGCTTATTTAAAATTAACTCTTTGGTGTAAGATTTAAAATAGAGACATTTTAGGCTTAAAATGACAAGGACTAAAACTAGCAAATGTTGAGAATATGGAGCAATCCATTGCTGGTAGGCATATCAAATAATAGCATCACTGTAACATTCGTAATAGACCTGGCAGTTTCCCATAAAGTTAAACCTATATTTACCCCCAAGACCCAGAAATTCTATTTTTGGGTATTTACCCAAGAGAAAAGAGAACATGTGTCCACTGAAGGACTTATACAAAAATGTCCGCAGCCACTGTTTTCTTAAGTCCCAAACTGGATACAGCCCAAATTTCCACCAACAGCAAAATGTAAACAACCTTGTATATTCACAAAATGAAATAATGCTAGATAATAAAAAAGAATCCGTTATCATTGTAGTCAACAACATGAACTTCAAAAACATGATGCTGAGTGAAAGAAGCCAGACACAAAATCTTACATTTTGTGTGATTACGTTAATTCAAAGAGTTCCAACAGGCTACACTTCTCTGTGATGAAAGAAATCAGGACAGTGACTGTCTTGGGGTAGGAGTGGTGCTGACTGGAAAGGAGCATGACAGGTCTTTCTGGAGTGGTGGCAGTGATCTTATTATATGGGTACAGGTTACATGCACACAAGTATCAACCCATCGAACTGCTTGTGAAAGACCAGTGTGTTTCACTGGTGAAAAGGATACCTCAATTTAAAACAATGTTGAGGTCAAAAAAGATATGGAGTAGGGTGGGGATGTTAGGTCACAAAAACAAAGAACCACGAAGAACTGGAGAGTAAGCCAGGACCACACACACACATACACCACACACATACACATACACACTCCTGATCTTTACACCTCAGCTGACATTTCTAACACTGAGCATGGTAACAGGGACATTGAACATGATAACATGTACCACTTGCATTCTTCCTTTCTTTTGGTTTTTGCTGCACGGAGGACAATTGCTAGGAGTGAGAAAAATTATACAGTTCTACTCTGTAATATTAAAAAATATATTTTTATAATATAATATTTATTTATAATATATAATATAATATTTAAAATATAATATTAAAAATATTATATATAGGCAATGAGAATTAGGGAACTGTAGCTGTTCAGAACCAGACAAGATTCCTTTACTTTCCAGATGAGGAAATGGAGGCCAGGGAGCTGAAGGGCCCTCTGGTGGTCAGTTGTCAGTCAAAGATAGTAAAGCACACCAACAGTTGGTGGGAAGAAAAACAGCCCCCCACTTCGAAGAAACTCTGGGAACCATATTGAACTTAATATTCAAAGGATCAGCACGGCTTCCTGGAAAGAGCATGGCGTTTTGAATATAATAATATTCATAATAAGCCTATATTGTTTTTTTGTCATCACTATTTATTACTGTGTTCTCAATAATAAAGGGTAAGGCTGTCCCATTTATTGTCTCTTATGGACCAGGCCCTGTCTAGGTGCTTCACACACAGCATTCCTAATCCAGTCCAACAACTGTGCAAGGTAAGTCCTATTGTATGTATTCAAAGATGAGGAAATGAAGGAATGGAGAGGTCACATGACTTGCTAATGCTCACCAAGGCAGAATGGAAACCTAGGTCAGTTTCGTTCAAAACGCCATGCTCTTTCCAGGAAGCCATGCTGATCCTTTGACTATTAAGTTTACTCTTTTTTAATCAATAATTATACAATTGTGCCTTTTTTAGATGTTAGACATATACCCTTTGATTATTTTGGTCTCATCAAATTTGTATATAGATTACTATTATCTGATACTTGCCTCCTTCCTAGAATTTCTCTATTTAGCACTTAAATAGTTAAATGGAAAATTTCATCCTGTTTTTCTTTGTTATTTTCAGACAGACAAATTCTCGATCGCTTTATCCGCTCTCACTGTGACTTTGGCATGGGACAGAAAAATAAAGGAAACAGTTCAAATGAAAAAAAAAATTGAAAATCAATAAAAGCACTGGATCATTTTCTCAATAATGAAAAAAAATAAGATCCAAATTGTTCCAAATAATATATTCATGGCTTTGTGTAATTTTGTTTTGTTTTATTTTGTTTTTAAACAATAAAATCATTTAAGGCCATAAATCCTCCCCTCCCCCACCATGTATCCAATAGGTTTTGCTATAATGTTTTTTTTCCTATTCTCTGCTGGATACTTAATTCGTGGTTTCAATTTTGATTTCCTCTTTGACCCAGAAATTATGCGGAAGAGGCTTCTTAATTTTCCAATAATTAGAGGATTTTTAAAAAACTTTTCATTGTTGACTTTCTGTTCAAAGTTTTTTAAAAAAATCTTTGTTTTGGGAAATTTAGCAAGGTTTTCTCTTATGCCAAGTATGTGATTAATTTGTATATTACATGAATATAAGAAGAGAAAAAATGTATAGTTTATTGTATTTCTCAAATCCCTTATATCTTTGCTATAATTGTGAACTTGAACTGTCAAATTCCGAAAGAATAATATTAAAAACATCCCACAGTAAAAATGTGTTCATCTATGTTTTCTTGTATTTCTAGGGTTTCACATATATTTATATAATATATATTATGTATATATTTATATATGTAAATGTATAATATATATAGCTGCTATGTTGTTTATCAGTGTTTATGACTCATACAAAGCTTTTTCAGTGATTAATTTTTTTCCCCCACTACATGCTATTCCTCTTTGACTTCATTAATAATTTTGGCCATGAATTGCATTTTAACTGATATTAAGGTTGCCATTCATGCTGGGTTTGTTTTTCTTTACCTTTCCTTGGTATATATTTGCCTTCCCTTAATTTCCAATCTTTCTTTGTAAATTTCTTTCAGTATGCTGCTAGAAATACCTTATATTTGGGTTTTATATTATTACTAATATGAAAATTTAATTCATACACAATAATTATGATGCTTGACATACTTGACATAAAAGAACTTTGTTGTTCTTTTTAGTCTTACTTTTCCTAATTTACTTTATTTTTTTCTTACACTGTTAATTTTTTTGTTTGTTTGTTTTGAGAGAGAGAGTGCGCATTGAAAGCATGAGTGGGGAAAGGGGAAGAGGGAGAGAGAAACTCAAGCAAACTCGCTGCTGAGTGCAGAGCCCGACTTGGGGCTCAACTCACAACCCTGAGTTCATGACCCGAGCCAAAAATGAAGAGTTAGACACTTAACCGACAAGCCACCTAGGCACCCCATACACAGTTAATTTTTAAAATATACTATTTTTCGCTATACTAGAGGTTTTTAAAAAATCACAATGGCCATTGTTACATATGGATTTCTCTATTAATATATAAAAATTACACATTCCTATGCCTCCTGTACCTTTTCCTTCATAATTCCTCCCTTCTCCACTAACTTAGAGATCTTTAATTTCCCATCCCATATTGTACTCCCTATTCCATCTGTGCATGCACATGGACACACGGACACACACACTCACACGCACTTCATTGCTCAGATAGTTTGTAATTTTTCCTTCAAGATTTTCTTAGGGATTTCCTTACAATTTCCTGTCCTATTTAAAGGAGACCTAAGGCATATAAATTTTCCGTTGCATCATCAGTATGATCCATTTATGTTTAACTATCACTTGTTCATGCATTCTCTTGTTTTCCCAAATGCTCAGATCCGTGCTCTGACTTTTATTCAGTTTGAATAGTTTCTATGTATTTCCTCCCATGGGTTACAAGGGTGGCGACATGTTGAACCCTTACTTGTCCTAAAATATCATTCTTTTGCATTAAATGATATCTTGCCTGTGTGTAGAATTCTTGGAACTTTGATTTTCTTAATAGTCCACAGTCATTCCATTGTCTTTTGCTTGAGAGTATAGTTTGTAACTCAGATACTGGTCTGGCTCAATTACTGTCATAAGTGATCTGGGTTTTTTGGTTTTGTTTTTCTGGAAGTTTATAAGATTGCCTCTTTACCTTTGTAGTATTTCAATAATTTTTAAGGCTATATTCAGTTTCATTTGGAATTTTTCTTTAACTTCAGGTAATTTCTTTCATTTCATACTTTATTATGGCCTTTCTTCTCTATGTTACTCTCTATGATGCTTTCTCTCCTTCTGAATATAATAATATTTGCAGGAGAGACCTCTTAGATCTGTCCTTTGAGTCTTTTTGACTTTTTGTTTATAGTTTCCATTTTGTTTTGTGTTTTTTTGGTAATTAATTAATTAATTTATTTTTTATGTTCAGTTAGCCAGCATATAGTACATCATAAGTTTTTGTTGTAGTGTTCAATGATTCATTAGTTGCGTATAACACCCAGGGCTCATCCCATAGTTTCCATTTTGAAAAATGTTTTTTTTTTTTTTTAAGATTTTATTTATTTATTTGAGAGAGAGAGAATGAGAGAGAGCACATGAGAGGGGGAGGGTCAGAGGGAGAAGCAGACCCCCTGCCAAGCAGGGAGCCCGATGTGGGACTCGATCCAGGGACTCCAGGATCATGACCTGAGCCAAAGGCAGTCGCTTAACCAACTGAGCCACCCAGGCGCCCTTGAAAAATGTTTTTGACTTCTGTTGAATATTTCTTCCTTTTGCCCACTCAGAACATCTGGTTCTTAGCAATGAATGTTCTGTTTATCCTATTTTAAAATCCAGGCATCAAATTTTATTTTACCATTAATTTTCGAAAGTCCTTTTTTTCCCCTCTATGATTGAATCTCCTTGAGAGTTTACTTCTGTTTTTGTTAAACGTATCCTTATCTTCTCCATTGACTCTGTCTTCACTGGAACCACCTTTTCTAATTACTGGGTCTGGTCTTCTCCCTCAACATATGGAGAGCTCAAAGAGGATATCATGGGTTGTCTGTACCCTCAGGTTAGGTCAGTCCTTTGGGGCCTCTGAGCCAAGAAAAATGAGCCTTAAGGGAAGGCTGGCCAGTGTTTGTTTACTGGATGAGCAGCGAAGGGGTTGGGCTAACACAGAAGGGGTTCACTTGCTGCTGAAGTACATGCAAGAGTCCCATGCTCCCTCTGGACTCCTCCAAGAAGGAGATGGACAACTCCTCCTCAGATGCACAGACTAGGAAAAGTTTATCCCACTGTTGCAAACCCCTCCAGGTTGTATATGGTTATCAGGCTTGGGCAGCTTGTTTAATAAGGGGACAGGAATGGCCATTCTGGAAGGCATATTCCCACATCTGCCCATCTGGGCCTATCAGAGAAGCCTGAAATCCGAGATTCTTGCCATGGGCTCCAGCAGAGTGCCTTCTCCCGTGGCTCCGTGCCTACTGCTCTATCATGGCACAGGGTTCAAGGAAAACAAGCTTTGTACCTACTCCAAATCTCTGAAGAATCTGTGGCTTCACACACAGCCCAGGCCCCTCTCAATAGTGTGCAGTTTGGTTGTTGTGAGGCACTGGAATGTGTCTGAAGCTCTAGAGATTTGGAGTAGCTTCAAGGCTTCTCTATCTCACCCCCTTCTCTGCTTCCCCGGAAGTCCTGTGCAGCATCTCTCCTCTGCTCCCTGCCCTGACTGGCAACTACCAGCAAGATTTGCATGGCGGGGGGACAGCTTGACCACTAAGGTTTTTATGGATCTCTTATTTGGACCTGTTCCTCTTTCCACTTTCATTTTGTATTGAAGCAGTAATGTCCCGGTGGTGTCTCTTTCTTTCGGATGGGTGATTTTCTACCTATGAGCTGGTGTTTGCCCCACTTTAGCAGTTGTGGGCCAGCACCTGAACATCAAGCTGCTATTAATGCCTTTCTTGGAGGACTAGGGATTTAGCTGTGGCCAGCCAGTTATTTCACATGGAATCTTTCTAAGTTTAGTGTGTGCGGTGTGGGACTTCCTGACTATCTTCATGACACCCACTCCAAGGCATGGTCCACACTCCACTGGGATCTTGAGCCAAATATTAAACAATGAATAGCCACTTCAGTCAATATTTATTGAACATCTACTACATGCCAAACAGTGTTTTAGGTAATAGAAATACATTAGTAGTGAAAAGAAAGATATGGAGCATATATTCTAGAGGGAGGGACAGATCATAAACAAGTAAAAATGAACAGTATAATTACAAAATATAAGTGCTACACAAAATATGAATGGTGCTGTGATAGAGAATAGTGAGAGGCTTCTATGGGGAAGGATAATTTAAACTGAGCCTTTAAGGGGAGAAAGAATGGGGCGCCTGGGTGCCTCAGGTGGTTAAGTGTCCGATTCTTGATTTCTGCTCCAGTCATGATCTCAGGGTCGTGAGATCGAACCTGCTTTGGGCTCTGTGCTCAGCGGGGAGTGTGCATGAGATTCTCTTTCCCTCTCCCTCTGTCCCTTCCCCTAATCTATCTATCTATCTAAAATAATAAGTCTTAAAAAAAAAAAAGAGGAGAAAGAGCAAGCCAGGTGAAGAGATGAGGCAATAGCTTTCCAGGCTTGGGAAGTAGCTAAGCAAGGGCATTAAGGTGGGAAAAATCTTGAAGTGTTCTAGAAACTGTCAGAATGCAGAGTGACTGACATATGGGGAGTTGGCTGGGCACAGTCATAGAAAAGGAGGCCAAGGAGGCAAGGCTCAGATCGTGCATGGCCTGAATGCCGCTGATTCCTGGTAGCATGGACTCTGTTCTTCTTGTTTCTGTGCTCCAGATTACTTAATACATTTCTGTTGACTCAAGTTGTGGATCACTCATGAACATGGCTTGGTTGAATGCTAATCCTCCTCTTCAAACTTCGCTGGAAAGCTTTGTCTAGGACTGGATTTCTTAGCCACTGCACACCATGTTGTAGATGCATCTTAAGGAGAAGGCTCCACACTCTGGGAGTCCCAAATGGGATCCCTGACCTCCCTCTTAAATAATTTTTTTTTTAATGTTTACAAAGTTTACTCTTTGTTCTGTGAAGTTCTATGGGTTTTGACACAAGCATAGAGTCATTATAGTATTGTACAGAATATTTTCACCACCCTAAAATATCACCTGGCCATCATCTATTCCACCTTCCCTTGCTCTTCCCAAACCTCTCATTACTTCTTTTGGAAATGGTTTTGATATTCTAAGGGCAGGAGGGCCAAGAAAAGCCAACACCAAATCTATTGCCTCGTGGGAGACAGCCTACAGCTGAGTCTTAACGTCCATCTGCCTGGACACAAAAAGGCATTATACATACAGAGTTGTAGGACAGGTGAGTGGCTGCCACTCTAGAGCCAGAAATTCTACCTGTAAATACAGCATTGTGATGTGCTATTTAACTGACTTCTTCTTGAGGCACTGTGGTAACTGTGGTATTGTCTCTAATTCTTCATCTCTTTCTGTATATAATCCATACCCTTAGCTATGCAACTTTGTAGTCTCTCCTACCAAGCATGAAATGTAGGTAGACCTTTGACTGGGAGCTTGGCCATGTGACTTGCTTCAGTCAATAGGATGGTAGCAGACATAAGCCTGGACTGCCCACTGGTCTCAGGAGAAGGATGAGAGACTTGTGGAGGAGATCTACTGCTATGGTCTGAATGTTTGTGTGTCCCCAGATTCATATGTTGAGATCCTAATCCTTGAAGTG